TTTTTTTTCTGCTAAATACTGAGTACTTTCAGTTACAAAGCTCTTAATGTACATATTCTGTTAAAATGAGATTTTTATAATGTGCTATATAGGTGTAAATATGAGTGTTCTGGAATAGAAGAGAATGCTAAAATAGGACTTTTGTTGTTTCAGTGCTGCCAAAGATGTCTTGGGAGAAGCAGAAACATTTCTGGCTAATTACCAGCTCCATAAGAATTCCCTGTTTCCCTCTAACAAATGCAGACTGAGTTGTTTCTAGGCACGCACTAAATGGATCAGGGAAGCCTGCAGTTTGATGTTAGCCTTGCTCCTTGGTGTCTTTGCGTTGCAAGCGTTGCCTTGCTTATCTGCTAGCCCGCCTGGTCCTCCTGCCGTGCATTGGGATGCTCAAGCTCTTGCTCCTGCTTCTTAGGGACCTGCTCAGTGCTTTCATTTGAGCAAGGTGCTTTGTAGCTCTTTCCCCCTCCTGTTACTTTTCCTGGAGCTCCTCTTGGGCAGGAGGGAATGTTAGTTTGCTGCTACTTGAACCTCTTCTTACTGTTATTGCCCTCCCTGCCTCTTTCACAGGGGCATCAGTTGAAGGAGGAACAAGGCTTTCAAAGGATTTACATTATTGTCCCATTCAAGTTTTTAAGAACTTAATATTGCTCAAAAAGTGCATCTCTTGTCTAATATATTTTAGATGTAAGATCTAATGTGGTTGTTCCTACCAGATGATTGAGTATATTGGTTTTTTTTTTTTCTTAATCAAAAGAGCTCCAAATCATTCGAAGAGCAGAACTTGTCTCTAGTTTGCTCTTCTCAGTATGTCTTTGCACTGTCGCTATTTTGCTGTACCCTTTTTGCTTTGTGTGATTCTATTCTTGGTTTTACATTTTGCCTGCTATGTGCGTTATGCTGTAACTCAGAGCTGAGGGGTTAGATGGACTCACAGGGGCAGTTCTTGATCTGGTCCTTTTATGCCATCGAAGGTGGTTAAGTAAGGACAGAAGAATCTGACAAAAGCCTTTCAGTTTCACTTTATGCATGGGAGGGCCATCTAAAAAGGAATTCCTTCAGATCACAGCAACCTGTCAAACTTTGGATTGTTTCAGTTGAAAAATGATGAAATAATGGGTACAAAGATCTGTTTAATGGAGGCAGTTGCATGAGCAATCTTGTTCCCTTTCTCTCTCTCTCAAAAAAAAAAAAAAAAAAAAAAAAAAAAAAAAGGGGGGGGGGAAAGGGTAAAATGTTATCAGGTTCTTGGTTCTTACTGGGTAAATATGGCTTGCATATGTTGTTTTCGTAAAGCTTCAGAATAATGTGTTAAAAGACTGAGTGAAATATTACTAAGTCTTACAGTGACCAGAAATTTGTGAAATTGGTTGAGTGAATCATTGAAATGCTGTTTCATGAGATGCTTCATATTTTGGACTTGTGCAGATACTTGAGAGTATGCCAATGACGGACAAAGTTGAAGAATTACTACAAGTAATAGGCCCGTTCTATGAAATAGTAGAAGATAAAAAGAAAAGAGGATCTGACCTAACTTCAGGTTCGGACAAATAACTTCCTTTGTACTATTAATAATCACAACTCCAGATTTGGGGGGGGCTTGTTTTCTATAAATGATTTAAAGCTAAACATTGCATCTTTCTATTTATTCCTTACCCTACGGCAGTTCGAATGGAGAAAGTCTCTAAATATTTGGAAGGTAGGAATAATGAATTAAATGTAAGTCCATCTTTTCCATCGTTCAGGTGCTGTAGTAACTTCTGCTAATGCTTGTGACTTCTAGGCTTGCCACCTCATTAGGCTCGTCTGTCTTTTGTGGGGGGCAAAGAGAGGAGAGGGAGTGCAAAGCAAAGTTACTCCCAGACACGTCTAATTACAGTTTAGCCATGTTAAACTACATGTTTTCTGAATTGCTGTAAATAAAAAATGGGGGGAAGATGGAGGACGGACAGACACTTAAGCCCTCCCCTTGATCTCTGCTTCCCTTTTATTTAAAGGAGAAACTGTTTCCAATCTGCCTTGTCACGCTCTGATGTAGCTGCTGTTGTCAAACTGAAGGTTGCTGCTGGTAATCCGGTTGGCCATCTGATCTGAAATAGGGGAAAAAAATCACTCCAAAAATCATAAAACTGCTTTAAAACATGTTTTCTCTAATACATGCAGAGTAATAAGCTGATTTTGTGAAAATTTCAACCCTAACCTGCCTAAGGCTCAGGTTCAAGATGGGAATGTCTATATTTTTAAAATCTCTGACAAGTGGCAAACCTAGTGGTGTCACAGCTGCATAAAGATCAGCGCGTTGATTTCTATTTAGCAATACCATTGTGAAAATGCTTTGATCATTACAGTTATTATGCTACAGGTAATGGGTGTGTAAGGTTATAATGTAAGGTTTAAAGCTGTTCAGATCTGACATCTAGAGATACCCAAGCGCAAGGAGCTAAAACCTTTAATGGCTTTAGAAACTGGACCATTGCACAAATTAATTGGCTTAGTATGGGTTTAAGAAGTAGCAATCAGATGGTTAAGATGACTTTTGTATGTGGCTCTTTTTCTTTCCCCATCTTAAACATACTTTTGATTTCAGTTTTGCCATCCTATTTCAGAGGGATTTAGAAATAGGTTCCCATTGTCTGTGAGAAAAGATGACGGCTGAGGTTTTTCAGTGGCCTTTTTGAAAGCATCATGAGCTTTTTTTTTTTTTTTTTTGACTAAAATTGTGTATGCTTCATGTCTGAGATCTAATCAGCTTGCTGACAGCAGGACTGACAGACAAGATTATAAAAGTACCAGTAGATTCAGGTCAGTGATCTGTGTAATAAGGATTTACTTTTCCTTGGTGTCTGTGGCACAGTGCCGAAAGCTATTTCCAAAAAAGTGACTACCTAGACAAACAGAGAACCACAGAAGTTAGAATAGCCAAGTATCCTGAACCTGTTACTGAAACAGGTGTATTTTAAAAAGAGTCTAAGTGTAAGGAAGGGAAATAAAAACATTTTTTTAGCTTTAATGTCGCAAATTTCAGTTTTATACTATGTCAGTGTTATCACAGATCTAGTCATGTGTTGTCCTGCATACACTTTACAGCTGCAACATCAAACTGCCACAGTGCGTTTGTAGATTTGTCACAGAATCCCATTGTGGTTATATGTTAAAAATTCATCGTTGGATTTAAGATTTTGAAACTCTTTCTTCAGTTATCTTACACATTCTCTGAATAAAAGTGAAGCTGAATGAACTAGTGTTTATTGTACAGGTCTCCTAATGATCTTAAAAAACTTCAGAGAAGTATGGAAGCATGGTTACGCTCAGTTTTCCAGATACACCCGAAGGAATATAACTAATTTGCTCAAAATAACACAGCTCTCTCTGAGATAGTGTAGACATTGGTGTCAATACTCTGAAAATCACTATATACTTATTTCTTGGTTATGTTAGTGTATCTGTTTTTCTATCTGTGCTTCCCCCACCCCAACACTCAGTAGCTGCTTTTATGGAATAAAATTGGGCCCCTTCCCCTGAGCATCCTATTTTCATAGTGTACTCTCCTGTCTTCTGCCCTATGCTGTTTTGAGATCACCTTCCGTTCTTCCATCATGGGACTTTTATCTGTATGAAGACTGTTATCTGATTAAGAACTATACGCAGCTTCCTTAAAAGTACATTGGCAGTATCCTTGAATTAGTTAAGAGGTTGTCCAGAAGATTAGCGTACATCGGATGTGCCTGGTGTGGCATCTCTATTTGATGTGGTCTCTCAGGAAAGAAAACAAGGCCTTTTAAAAATGGAATTTCTGTTCCTTCCACTTTTGTTGAAAATGCTAAATACGGACCACTGCAGTACTTGAGTCAACAGAGCTTGTGGCTCGCCTTGATGAGGCGCACTGAAGCCTGACACGGCAGCATTAAAATCATGGATAACATCCACTGATGGGCAGCTAGGACAGATTTCTGGTGTGATCTGTGGGTGACAGTCTCCAGACTTGGTGTGCTAGGCCTTATTTCTGGCAAAGCAGAATACTAGTCTGAATTGGTAATGAAAGAAAAATGGAGAGTTCTCTCTGGTAGACTGAGCAAGTCTAAAGTACTCCAAGAGTGTATGACCTGGCTGGTGGTGTACGAGTTCAGGCTGCAGCTGTCTGTGAGAAGCCCAGGTTCTCAGCAAAGTTCAGTTAGTCTCTTTTTGGCAGGTGTGAAGTACTTCTTTACAGAGCAAACATTACTGACAAACTGTTTTCGGGTACCTAAAATACAAGACATCAAGAAAAGAAACTGGGCACTTGGTATTCTCAGGGCTGCAGAAGAGAGCGGGTAGCAGTGCTGCAGAACCCTGTTGTTCTCAGGGGCTGGAGGAGTAGAGAGAAGAAGGTTGGGTGAGAGGATGGCAGGTCTCTGTGCCTCATTGGAATATTGCTGCTTAGAATGGAAACCTTTTAACTTTTTGCACTTTTAATAAATGTTAAAAAAATAATGTGATGGCCAAGCCTGTGCTAAAGGAACCAAGAAGCTTCAAAACCCAGTTGCTCTGTGAATTAGAAACTTTCCTGTTCAAGCTTTAGAAGACTTCATTTCTTGTTTTTTATTACACATGAAGAAACTGAAGGTGGGCTAGAACTGGCACAAGTCAGTGACCTGATACTGGGTGAAAAAATCCTCAGCTCCAAAGCCAGCTCGTCTCCCGTGCGGTTTCCGGGAGAATGTTTGTGCATGTTGTCTTTATCCGCACTGTGAATAAACCAGGAGGAGGAGGGCTGCCTAACAACCTACCACTAAGGCACTTCAGAGACTAAACAAGGAATCCAGGAATTGTCCATGCATTCTTCAGTAAACTCTTTCCCCTTCTTGACAACACCTTTAATCTGCATTAAAACACTACTAAATAAAGATGACCCTGTGCCTTTATGCTGGGTAGTACTCTTTGTGAACCTGCGTGAAGACCAGATGTTACCTGCAGCAGTGACACCAGTTTGGCCCTGCGGTGATTGTGTCAACCCCCTTAGAGCTGTTCCCAATCTCTGGTTCCCAGCCAGGAAGGTTCCAGCCTTACGATAATATCTTAACGTTCGTTGTCCTGCGCACAGTTTTGTCCCGTCCGCAGTTTTGTTCCCAGCTGTGTTGCAGCGGCGGCAGCGTCAGTCCCGCTGGGGCGCGGTGGCTCGTGCCCGGGCTGGGGCGGCAGCGGTGCCTGGCAGCCCCGGGAGCCCCGCAGGGCAGCGCTGCGGGAGCTGCCTGGCTGCGCGGGGCGCTGCTGCAGGAGCCGCTTCACGTCAGCGGGGCTCGCAGGCAGCAAAGGCCCCACATGAGGATGTCCTCTTCCCTCCTTTACAGGGCAGAGGGGCTGTAAGGATGCAGTCAAAGGCTGTTAATCTGTTTCCTCAGTGTCTTCCTATATTGAACATGGGAGCCACATTTAAAAAAACTCCAGGATTGTAGGCATTGAAGTTTGCACTCTTTTAGAACAGGCTAATACATGCAAGCATTTCCGTTTCAAAGGCAGGCATTAGTGGAGGATGCAGGCAAGCTTCAAGGAGAGGATTGCACTTAGGAACAAAAAATGTTTTGTTTTTTTTTCCTCTTAACACTTGTTCTTAAACACTGTTTACTTTCAAACTGTACAGCCAAAGGTTGTTTCTCTTTTCAAATAGCTGTATTCTCTTAAAGAGCTTCTCACATTATTTTCAACAGCTTTTCTTTGTGATGAAGCATGTGGTGGTATGCTCTTTCTGCTTATGTGCGCATTTGTTTTTACTTATTTTATTTTTGTGAAACACCCTCTACATTTGCTTCATAGACTCAACTTTTCATTTGTTTGCCAAACAAGTGGGGTACTCGCTCACGCCCAGAGATACTTGCTAAACTGATTTCTTTCCTTCCCATTCTCCTCACCAGGACTTTTAAGAAACTTGGTGGCCTTGAATCTTTAAAGCTCTGTAAGAAGAGACAAAATATTGCAATCCTTGTGTCCTTGGAGCTGCTGTGCTGTAGTAGCATGTGTTGTATGGGTGGCTGCACCATAGCAAAGAGATGCATTGAGACTGAGGCAGGGCAAGGTTGCGGGGGGTGAAGCTGCTGGGTGGATGAGGGAAGTTTTTTATTATTATTTATTTTTATTTTTATTATCTTCTAATTGTTTTCTCCTTTATTTTTGTTGAAACAGCTGTAATCAAAGCAACTGATTATATTTAGGGAGGCTGATGTGACTTTTATTTTACATGTATCATGGTGACTTCATCATGAGTTTGTCAGTTCGGTTGTGGAAGCACCTGAAATGTTCCAGGTAGCTTCTCCGTGGGACAGGGCCATTAGGGGATTAAGGGCTGGGCCAGCAAGTACCAGAATTGGTGGCAAGTCTCACAGAGATGTGGATTGGTGCCACAACAAGCCATGGCTTGCACTGCTGCAGTCTGTACTTACCTCAGGCTCTCCAGTCCAAATCTCGGCCTGCTTTGCTTGGGATTCGCCTTTGCACTCCCGGGTTTGTGCTGGTGCTACCCACCAATGGTAGAAATTAGGGCAGAGCGTCTGCGTAGATCAAGCCTGAAGTAATGAACAGCCTCCATTCGCTTTCCTACAGCAACGGTAGAGGGGACATCAGCACAGGGAGAGCAGCAGAGTAAAGATTGACTCCTTCAGAGAGAGAGAGGGAGAACTGAGAGAAGCTTCTTTGTTTGAAAAGAAAAGCCTGTCTTCTGTTCTGTGCTCTTTTGAGTCAACAGAAACAGCTTTTGTTCCAAAGCGGTCCCTGGACCTGGATTCTTTCTTTAGCCAAATGACAGTTCAGCCTGCAAAGGGCAAGAGGGGTTGTCAAAAGCTCTTTGAGTCCTGGTAACATAATAATTTAGTGGACATACCCACTTGCTGTAAAATGTAGGTCTTTCATATTCTAGAAGTCTTACTTGTATCTTGTGATGAGAGAGCTGGGCTCCAGCTTCCTCACAGCTGTGTTCTCTAAAGGTGGAAATGTGAGCAGG